GGGAAAACCAAAGCAGCTAAACTTTGAAGGAGAGGAGAAAGCTTCTCAGAGAGTTTTCCAGAGATCAGCAGGGACTTCCCCTCAAGAATTCAGTTGAGTCCTGCTCATAGGAGTAAGGAAACAAAGGAGGCTGGAGAAAGAACCACCAGAAAAGATTAGAGATTATAGCACAGTTCCTGCACTCACAGAATCAAGAAGTCTGCTCCACCCTGCCAGTCTGGGAAACCTTCAAGGGACACTGGGTAGAGTACACAAGAGAGTCTTGCCCAATTCTGGGAAATAATTAGTCCTAAACTGAATACTCTTTGGTCAGACCTAACAAATCTTAAAGTAAGGCCTAAAAGAATCAAACTATCTCCAATTAAATTAACTGCACCCACAGAACAAAGCTCAGGAATATTTATAGAGATGCAAAAATATCTAGTACCCAACAAGATTCAAAATATTTGCATCAAATCAGGAATTACCCAGGATTGAAAAACAATCTGAAGGGCCAGGGATTTAGCTCAGTGGTTTTGCCGTCTGCTGCGCAAGCGCAAGGACCCGAGTTCGATCCCCGGTACCAAAAAAAAAAAGAAAAAGAAAAACAATTTGAAGAAATAAAGTCGAAAATTTTCAAAGTCTTGAAAATCAGAACGTCACAAATGCAATGAACCTAAATAGTACAGGAGACGTGAAGAAAATTATATCAAGCACATCATTCTCAAACTTCTCAACACCAAGGATAAAAAGGAAAATCTTAAAGCAACCAAAGAAAAAAAGACAATATATACAAAGATAAGATAAAAACAGATTTCTCACTGGGAACAATGTCATCAGGAAGCAATGTCTTTAAAATACTGAAATAAATCTACATAGAATTTTATAGCCAGTGAAAATATCTTTCAAAACCAAAAGCAAAATAAAGATACTTTCAGACACACAAAAGCTGAAAGTATTTATCACCATCAGACACAAGAAATGTTAAAGGAAGTCCATTAAGCAGAAGGAAAATGATTGCAGATGGAAATACAGACCTGCACAAAGGAATGATAGACTACACAAGTGGTAAAAACATGGGTAAATAGTTTTTTAAAAAAATTATCATTTGAATCTTTTCAAAAGATAAGTGCCATTCCAACAAAAATAGCAGCAATGTAACGTGGTATTTAATATATAAATTAAACATATGACAATAATAGTACAAAAGTCAGGAGGGGAAAAATTAAAGTTTACTGTTACAAGGTTCCGGTACTGTTAGTACTCACTACACACACTGGAATAATTGATTAATAACTATAAGTCAAACTCTACCTGGGTTCTGCCACTGACAAAAGATTGTAAATATGCCTACTTAGTGATTTGATTTGAAAGCTGACATCATATTTGAAAAAGCACTATAACTGCAGTAATAAGCACAGATAAGAAGTCATGATCATAATGACCCTAGTAATCATAACGTATACTTCTCAGAATAAAAAGAATACCATAGTTCCCTGTAATTATTTTTATACATCTGTACATATATTTATAAATCAATTCTAATGTGGACCACAGATCAGTTCAGGATGGGTTAGTGGCCAGGTCATGATGGTCAGCACAAGTGAAGGTCTATCTAGCACTAGCTTAGAAAACTCACTCAACTCTCATAACCTTAGTTTCCTCATCTAGAACATGAGGAAGGTAGACTGGATGACTTCCAAGATCCTTTCTGAGACTTGGCTACTGCTAATGTGCTAATTAAATCTTTTTTTTTTTTTGGTACCTGGGATCGAACTCAGGTCCTTGCGCTTGGCGCAGCAGGCGGTGAAACCACTGAGCTAAATACCCGGCCTCTATGTGCTAAATAAATCTTAAGTCTTGAGATGCTAAGAAAATAGGATATGTTTTAGGGATATTGTTGTCACAAAATATTCTCAAAGCAATGCCAAAAGAAACATTATTGTGAAGGATGGCCTCTCTCTCTTTCTTTAGTGTCATTCTGAGCTGATTTTATGAAAATCAGCTGCCTACTAACACTATTCACCAATATTTTCTTTAGATGGAGTATTAACTATTAACTAGAGTGCCAACAACTATTTTCAAATCAGAAACGTGAATATAATCTTCATTCTCATTAAAATATTAATACATGTGGAGGATAAATTTTAGGAATATTTTTCTGGGATTCTTCAAACACTTGGAATTCTTTTAAAAATATATGTATTTTAGAAAAAAATTTCAGAGAATTATGGAAAATAGCATAAAATTATGAAAGAACACCCCTGGACAACACCCCACCACCACCTTCAAAATGAGATTACTAACTACTGGCTGTTGATACAGACACTTTACCTACGCCAGCAGGGGAGAAAGAAAAGTTACATCACGCTTTGTGGGTAATTTTTTAAAGTTATCTGAAGAAACAGAACTTGCTTGCATTTAATTCGTAAGTTATTGATTTGCAAAGAAATGTCAAATGGCCATTTTTAAACGAAAAAGAAGCAACTAAAAAGGTGCAGCACTCCCAATTTAAATGTACTTAACCTTTGTTAAATTCATTGCTACCTTTGAAAAACAATTCCTGAACCTCATCAGTTTACATTATTTCACAAAGAATAGACATTCTTCTCAAAGAATTTTTAAAAATATTTCTTACATAGAGAAACAGAAATAATTGTCAGTTAGCTACAAAATAATGGAGATTTTGAGACTAGAAGTACAGCAGTTAGTACTGGAAGTACTAAAGTACTAGAACAATTTATCCAAATATGCATTTTCCACTACACTTTAAAGGAAAAAGGCCTCAAGTTTTTTTCTTTAGTGTTCCCAAAGACTAAAGTGCAAACACAATCTAAACAAACCTATAATTAGCATTTATAATGGCAAATAATGCAAAGTAATTTTATATGAATCAATTAACAGAAATTATATATTTAATGCTTATCCAATGCCCCGTATGTACAAGGCAATGCGAGGTGGGAGTTAAAAAAGATGAATAGAAAGAGCTCTCTAGTTCTATGAAAAGCCCCTTAAGAGCATTAGTCTGAGGATTTAAAAATGAAAAAAATAATAATAACCTCTTAATGGACATGTCCCGCTGAGTCGCCTCATGACATCTGAACAGTCACTCAAAGGCAGCTAAAGGTTGAAGACTCAGTATCTCAAGAGAGCCAGAAAATGACAGGATTTAGCAGCAGACAATAAAATAAGTTGCTTTCTTCTAAAATGCACCTAGAAAAACATTTGGCAGTAAATACCCAAGCATCCCCTCAGGGGCAAATCAAGTGCATGGAAAGTGTAACTTGGGGAGGAGGGGACGAAGGAAAAGAATATGAACTTTTATTTGTTTAAGGCAGAATTTCAATGATAAAATAAAAATTTTAAAACTGCCTTTGAGTACTGACATGTGTAGTTCTCATTTGATTTAAGAAAACTGAGTTTTATATGTGTATTTCTTTTATCACCAATAGAGATTATGGTTTCTGGTTGTATTTTACTTCCTACCAGATAGTATTTATATTCAACACAGCAAATCCTGGATTGAGCATCCAAAGCACCCAATGGACATTCGCTGTACCAAATTTCCTCTCAATATGAAAAATGTAGAAACTATCATTATGCTATTTAAACTCCAGCAACGTACCAAATCCTAAATGAGTTACACAAAGTTGAAGTTGAAGAAACCTTTCTATCCATTACCTGAAGATCTAAGATCCAATTAAATTCTCCTTGGTCATTTTAGTTATTGCATCTTTGAGCGTCCTACCTCTAGGACAACAATGACTTCCTAATACTCCTGACAAGATTCGGTGAGTTTTTGCCATGAACCAAAAAAGCCCAGAATACTCAACAGCTCCAGAGTTAAGTCTTAATATTGTCTGCATATTACAGGTAAGGAAACTACCTTGGGCAAGTTAATTTCTTTGTGCCTTAGTTTTCTCATTTTTAAAACAGAGCTAATAACAGTACTAACCAACAGCATTATTTTGAGATATAAATGAGTTAAAACTTGTAAGGCATTTAAAACACTGCCTGACATATGAACTGTACATGCATTAGATATTATTATGTCTACATTTTTACAGTTTATAAAACAGTTCATATTAAGCTCTCCCACATATTCTTGGAATAAAAAACATTTTGTAAAATCTCCAAGGGGCAGTCTGCTAGGGGATGCCTAACAAAGACCTTTATTCAAATCACTTGATCTAGCGATTCTAGAGAATAATCAGTTGCACACAAAGAGCTGTACACAAGGCAATTTATTAGGTTATTTATAATGCCAAAAAGCACCAAAATGACCATCTAGAATTAGATAAAATGTGAAATTTCCATAAAATGGCATTTTCTGCATCTTTTAACAATAAGTTTAGCTATAGACATGATAATAAAAAGATCAGTGGTTGGCAGAAGGTAAGGCTGAGAGAGATGAACAGGGAAAGCACAGAAGATTTTTAGGTCAGTGAAACTTCTCCATGATATCACAGTGATGGGTACATGTTATTGTACATCAGTACAGATCAATAAAATCCACAATAGCAAGTGTGAATCCTAACGTGAACCATGGCAATATTGTGGGTTCATTACTTGTGCCACTGTGCAAGATGTGGACTTGGGAGGCCGTGTGTGCATGGACACGTGAGAACTGTGTACTTTCTCCTCAGTTTTTCTGTGAAACTAAAACTGCTCTGCAAAAAAGAAAGCAATTTGTAAAGAATTAAAGGACTGACCCAAATGTTAGAAGTTAGCTCCTTGTAGTAGGTACTATAGATGGTTTTGAAATACACTTTCCTGTGATTCTAATTCTTCTTATAATGAACTTTTATGTCTTTAAAAATAAGGAGGGGCTGGGATGTAGTTCAATAGTAGAGCACATGATTATCATATGCAAGGCCCTGGGGTCGATACCCAGTGCCAAACAAACAAAAAACAGTATTAAAAAATCAGTCCATAGTTTTAGGATTTTGTTTTAAAATGTTATCTAGTTTTCAAGCCAGAGTTCTTTTAAAATGGTGTATCAGTTAAATCTGAAAGGAGCAATGACTGACACTGCACCAGAGAATCTTAACTGTCAGCCCGACTGGATTGAGAGACCGGGAGAGAGCCCGGATCACAGGTGCAGCATTCTCATCGGTGCAGTAATCCACCTGTGCTCATCACTGAACATGCAGTTGGGAGGTGGTGCCCAGTTAGAGATGCCTCATGGGGTATGCCTTCAGGGGCCACGTCTCCTGCTGGCACTCTTTCCCTGTGCTGCTTCCCTGCCACAACAAAGTGAGCTTCTGCACTCCACCTCCCCTCCACCATGATGTTCCTGCATTTGAGTCAGATGAACATGGACTGAAACCTTTGAGACCCTTAGACAAATAAACCATTTCCACCTTCAAATTGTTCAAGTCAGACATGTTGTCCCAGCAATGGGACAGACATGAAGTGGCATTCTAACAGCTCTACAAAACCGAAACACCTCACCAATTACCTAAATCAATCCATTCTTTCATTTGTGTTTGTTGTTCATCTACTCCAGTGTGACAAACATCCAGTATATATTTGTGGAACAAATGCATGTATTATGCCTTCCACTTTAAATGTAAGAAGCCACATTCAGAGAGAAGCTGATCAGCTTCGAATTCACCCCTGCTAGATTCTAGCCGAGACTGGCCCCAAAGCCTGAACTTGTAATCAATTTTAGATAAACAAGGCTTTGTACAACTTTATTCACTGTGGTGTTTCACATGCAGGATAGATTAGACCTAACCTTCACTATTACCAGCTATTCTGACCTCCTTGCTGTTCTTTAAATCAGGGTTATTCTCTCGTGAAGATCTTGACCCTTGTTCTTTTTCTGTCTTTAAAACATTCTTCCCCCTGCTTTGGGGGGCAGGAAAAGGGCTCCTCTTTGCCCTACTCCTGCCAAATATCAGAGAGATGCTCCCTGACACTCCACTGCAGTATGTCCATTACTTCTTAGCACAGTCTGAAACAGCAAAAATTACAGTTGAGCAAATAAGCCATAACAGTCATTTATTATCAAATATTTGAATGTGCTACAAACTTACACACTCCTGGTAGCACAGTAGGTTTGTTTATGCCAGCATTACCACAAACACGCATGTAAGACATTATGTTTCATTAAAATCACCACAACATCACTAAGTGATAGGAATTTTTCAGTTCCATTGTAATCATATGGGGTCACCATTATGCACATGGTCTGTCACTGGCACATGACTACATATGAATTACATTTACACAAGCATCACATATTATTCTGTCAAGAAGAACCAATGAGTCCCTTTATTAGTTGGTGATCTACAGTCAGACAGAACCAATAGGTTACATATATAGATACAAAAGAGGGAATGTAAGGCAACTGGAACATGCAATTACGGAGGCTAAGAATCCCCTGGCAGGCTGTGTGGAAGCTGTAGACCCTGGGGCGCGACAGTGTGGTTCACCAGACCTCAGCACCAGGGAAGCTGGTAGTGTAGCACAGTCTGAAGCTGCTGGCTCAAAGTGTAAAGGTCAAAGAGACTAGAGCGCCAGCATCCAGGGACAAGACACAACTCTGTACCCAGCTCCAGAAGGGGACAGACAGACATGTGTGCCCTTCTTCAGTTTTTGTCCTCCCTGTCCTCGTGCTGACTGGATAGTGTCTGCTCATAATGAGAGGGACTTTCCCTCTCAGTCCACTGATACTCACAAGCTAGTTTAATCTTGAAACACCCTCATGGAAACACCCACAAAAAGTGCTTCATCAGGTTTCCTAGTATTCCTTAATCCAATCATGTTGACACCCAAAATTAACCACCACAGTTCCCAGCTGAATCTCCCTGGCCCAGTGGAGGCCTGGAAGGAATACTTCTCAGTCTTTATCAATCTTCATTCTCCTGAATTTCTGTAATATGTGTCAGAGCCCATTTCTCATCTAAGAAATTTTGCCTCTCTTGACTTGCTTCTCAGTCTGTTGCCTGTGAACCTGACTGTTCCTTCTCTCCCTCAGATTTCTCCTCCTATTCATCTTAATCCTGAAAAAATGTCATCAATTCCTACATTTCTATCCCTGGAGTTTTAGTCACAAAACCTCCTTGGAAACTTCCCAGGCTCCAGAAGTACACAGCATTAAATCACATTCTTGATGCAACACTTACCTTATTATATTTTGTATTACACTCAGTTATGTCTTATTCTCCCTGTAGGATGGGCAGGTTCTTGAGAAGAGAATCAACAGCTTAATCATCTTTCTCCCTTAAGATCTAACAATCTCTTGGACATAGTCATTACTATAAGTAACTAAGTGGGGAAGCATATAAAATACTTTTAACAAGTGATTAACACTGAAACAAAACCTTGGAAATACTGTTGACAATTTCCTTTCAAATTAGCTTTTGATTTGTAACAAAGCAAAAGAGACATTATGATTGGATTGCCACTTTACATAATAAGTTCTCCAATTAATGAATATTAATATATTTGACTTTCAACTAGCATGCTAAAATAACAACATCTGGCATTTATATAGCACTTACTACAGATTCTAAGAAATATATGTGTGCTAACTCACTAATACTCCCAACAATCCTACTCGATAGGTAATATTTTTATATGCTCCATTTTACAAATGAGGTAACAAAGGCAGAGTTCAATGATTTATTCAAGGTCATGCTGCTAGACCAAGCAAGGACTCGCTTGCTTGGACCCAGCCTGCTTGAAACCTAAAGCTTTATCTAAATAACCATTCACTATAGAAATCTAATTTTACATGAATATTTTGAATTCGTATTTAGACATTTTTACAGAAGCCTGTTATTTATGAGTAATATTTTTCTGTAAACAAATATATCTGTATTAACTATGTTAATATTCTGGCTACAGTACACATACACAATGTGCTAATGCATATTTCATTTTGTCAATATTGCATTAAATATTACAGCATTTTAAGTTATCTTATCCTGCTTCTGAATGTTACCTGGTGTTACAAGTTTAACATGAAATCTTCTTAACAATCTTGAGATACGTATATATCCACATTGATTTAAAAAAAATTTTTTTAAACTAAGGATTTTCATAAATATATAACTTAAATCTCACTAATACCATTTATTACTAGGTGTCACAAATGACAATCAAAATAATGCTGTAATCTTGTTGAAAAATCACAATTTAATGGATGATTTTAGGTTTTTCAAGGCTACAGTGGGCCTCAATTTTGTACCACTAAAAAGTAATCTCTCCTATTACAAGGTCCACTTAATTCTCAGATGTTTTTATACTTGAAGCTTTTATGTTAATAAACCTAAGTATGGGGATGGAAAATTCTATTAAAATGCAAAATGAACTCTTAATGAATAGCATTCTTAAGATGTGATGAGCCACTGGTACCAGGACTGATTTCTCAGCGGTTACTTTTTAAAGAAAAACTGTTTCTGTCTTTCCTTGACCAACAGTAATCAAGAATAAAATCCTATTGGCTTCAACCATGAAGTAAGTTGACCAAATCAGACTTTTCTTGTGCTCTTCAAAGGAGAAAACTTAAGTGTCTATCTTCAACTCCAACAGGCTCATTCTCCTGGTGTTGCACTTGTTGTTCCCTTTGCTGAAGAGGAAATAGCACCCAGATTTTCCCAGTTCAGGCTCAGCTCAAATGTCTCATCTTAGCAAGGCCTTGCCTGGCCAGTCTACCCAAAGAAGTCCACTGTTATTGGTTGAGCTGTGTCCCTCAAAAAGACACATTGAAGTCCTAAGCCTCAGCCCCTCAGATTGTCACCTTACTTGACAACAGCATTGTTACACAGATGCTTAGTCACTCTGGAGTAGGCTATGTATGTCCTTAATCCATGAGGACTGATGTCTTCATTTGGACAGAGACCCGTAGACACAGCGAAGACAACCATGTGAAGAAGGAGACATAGACCAAGTTATGCTACCACAAGCCAAGGAATGTCAGGCCTACTAGAAGAGGGAAGAAAGATCCACCCAGATCTATGAAGAATACATCTCCCTTGTTCTAAGCCACCCAACTTGAGGCTTTGTTATGGTGCCCTAGCCAATAGATATAACTACCGACCCTACACTGTTTTCTGCCCCATCAGCCACTTTTATTGTCCTCATGTTTTTAACAGTATTTAAAACATCGTACTTGTGTTGGCTGTCTCCCTTGATTAGGCTCCATAAGATCAGGGCCTTTCAATTCAAAAATGGGCATCTGAAATGAACAGACATTTCTCAGACAAAGAAGTAAAAGCAGCAAACAAATATATGAAAAAATGTTCAACATCACTGGTCATTTGAGAGATGCAGATGAAAACAACACTGAGATTCTACCTCACCCTGGAAAGAATGGCTGCTATCAAGAAATCAACCAATAACAAATGCTGGTGGGACTGCGGGGAGGATGGAACGCTTCTCCACTGCTGGTGGGAGTGTAGACTGGTGCAATCACTGTGGAAATCAGTATGGAGATATCTCAAAGAACAAGGACCAGAGGTCCCATTTGACCCAGCTATTCCCTTGCTGGGTATCTTCCCAAAAGAATTAAAAGAATCATACCACAGTGATATATGTGTACCTATGTTTTTAGCAGCACAGTTTGTAATAGCTAAAGCTTAGAAGCAGCCCAAGTGCCCATCAACTGGAAACTGGATAAAGATGTGGGGTTTTTTTATAAAATGGAGTACTACTCAGCCAAAAAGAATGGGAAACTAGAGACATTTATAGCTAAATCGATGCATATTGAGGCCATACTCTTAAGTGAAATAAATAGGACAAACGTGTAAATACTGAATAGTTTCTCTAGTGTGAGAAACTGAGAGTGTAAACAAGGGTTAAAATGATTAAAATGAATAACTGATAATTTGAAATAGGAAAAAAGGTCCAAAGATGAAGGGGTGAAGGGAGGGGAAGGGGAAAGGAAAAGAGGGAAAGGAAAAACTATGAGAAAAGAAAAAAAATGGAAATGACGTCTATGTAAATAGGGAAGGGTGGAGGGGGTGAAGGACGCACAGGTAATGGGGAAAAAATAAGAACCAAGATACATCATGTACAGGTACAAGCACTCAATGATAAATGTAAACAAACTGTATACCTAAAATGTACCAATAAAAGAACTTAAATAAAAAAAAAAAGATCAAGGCCTTTATTAACTTCAGAGCAGAGTCCAGGACACAGTAGGTACTTAAGAAATAGTCTGTCAAACCAATTAATG